CTGTTGGAAGTGAATGAATTGATTCAGCATTTCGACACCTCCATAAGGATGCATTTAACTCGACAAAGCGGTCTAATAAAGGATGTATTGATCTCGTGAATTAGCAAATTTTACTATACAAATATTTTTTAATTGGATTTTAAAATTTATATGGGAATATTACATGACACGCTGATCCTTTAACAATGCATTGGCGCAAAAAACGCACACCCTTTGGACAAATCTGCCACAAATATTTGGACAAATGTGCCACAAATACTGCCTAAACAAAATACTGATTTTGTGCACTTTATTTACTGTACCGATATTTTTAATTGGCCTTTGAACTTAGCTTATTGCATGGCAAAAAAAAGTGTTACCTTGTCAAAGCACTGACAGAGGCCACTGATCTAATGGCGTAGTTGAGTGCTCCAAATGCAAACTTTGCATACAACAATCAGGCAGCAATTGACAGCACTCTGATCTAGTGGCATACAGGCATCGTCAGATTGACAGTACTCTAGCCCAATAATGTTGGGGGATCCAGTGGGGGCGCATCTTCGGGTGCATCCGTGCCAGTACGTGCGCTCATTGGCGCCCCTTCAGCTGGTGGCGCCCTAGGCGACCGCCTAGCTCGCCTATGCCTAGAAACGACCCTGCTGGTGTGGATTAACCATTACAGAAACAAAAAATTGTTGTGGTAATCATCAATACTGTGGCACCAACCTTACACTGGGTGGTGGTCTAATAAATTTGTTAAGTGTCCCTAATGTGTTGTTGTGTCTCTAATAAGATCGGTCACAAACATGATCCCTGAACAATCTAATCTGTAACGTCTTATTAAAGGGATAGTTCACCCAAAAATGAAAATTCTGTCATTAATTACTCACCCTCATGTCGTTCCAAACCCGTAAGACCTTCGTTCATCTTCAGAACACAAATTAAGATATTTTTGATGGAATCTGAGAGCTCTCTGACCCTCCCATAGACAGCAAGGTAACTACCACGTCCAACCGTAATTTTACTGAATAAAGTCGTTTTTTTTTTTTTTCTTTTGCGCACAAAAAGTATTCTCGTAGCTTCGTAAAATTACGGGTGAACCCCTGATGTCACATGGATTATTTTACCGATCTCCTTGCTACGTTTCTGGACCTTGATCGTGTAAGGACCCTTGCTGTCTATGGGAGGGTCAGAGAGCTCTCAGATTCCATCAAAAATATCTTAATTTGTGTTCTGAAGATGAACGAAGGTCTTACGGGTTTGGAACGACATGAGGGTGAGTAATTAATGACAGAATTTTCATTTTTGGGTGAACTATCCCTTTAAGTCACTGTCATCCATGGTCTGTAACACATTTCTACTCCCTCTTCATCTTTCAGCCATTTGCTCTTTAAGAAACTCTTAAGCCTCTTAAACCTCCTCCTCCTAACACATTTTGACCAGCTCTTTTAAGGGTTAAGATGTTTTGTAAGTAACTTTTATCTTCACTAGGATCTTTTCTTTATTTGTAAGGGGAAACGCCCACTTTCCTCTTAGAATTGTGTCACTAGAATCAACTCTTTGCGCTAAGAATTTTCATGCATCAGATTCAAAGCTATGATGCACACAGGACCACTGCTGTCTGCACCCTCTAACCTAAATGTACTCCTTCAGATTTTCAATCCTATGTTGTCAGTCAGTGAGCAACTCATCATTGAACCATAAAAGGTCATTTTCACAAGCTTTCTCTTCACCTTCAAACAGCAGAATGCATTACAGTCTTTGAAAAAAGATGGAAAACAACTCTTCCTGTAGCATTTGACTATCTATTTTGTGCTTAAAAACAACAACTACTCTAGTTAAACAGTCGTTGTTCCCCATTGACTTCCACAGTATGGAAAAAAAAATACCATGAAAGTCAATGGGGACCAGCAACTGTTTGGTTACCCCCATTCTTCAAAGTATATTCTTTTGTGTTTAGCGGAAGAAAATTCACATTCAAATTCAGTTCCTAAATGAAACATATTCTCTCCCCACTTCAGCTGCTCCGGAATTATCCGCACAGCCATTTGCCACAGCTTTTACACTGGATGCCCTTGATGCAATCCAGCACTGAGAGTGTACTAATTCATGCAACCCCAGTTGAAGCAACCATACAGATGGTTTAAATAATGTTTGATGTTTAACAAGTTGTGTATATGATGCAAGGAGTGACTCATTAAACATATAAGCAAAGTTGAGAATATGCATTTTGAGACAATAACAACAACAGCAGCATATTGTTATTGAATAAGTCACATATTTTGTTTCCTAAACTCCTGAAACTTTGGTGTATCACATTTTAAAGCAGTCAATGCAATTTGGGAAAGAAATCAATCAAATCTGTATGTGTGTGAAAATATTCAGATGTAACCCCCTTTGTAATCGTTAACATTTTCATAAGTAACTGTAATTTAATTACACATTTTTTCTCAGTAACTGTAACTGATTACAGTTACATTTATTTTGTAATTAAATCACATAATTCCGTTACATGTAACTAGTTACTCTCAAACACTGTGTTTGCACATGAGCAAAGCAAAGGTGTTTTTTAGGAGTCTGACTTGCAAGCCTCAGACCACTGATTCATCAAACCTGCTTTGTTGCAGTCTGTGCTCTTATGACTTTATTTTGTAGTAAGTAACGAATATGCTTCGGGGAAATGTATTGGAGTAAAAGTATACATTTTAAGTATTGTAGTGGAGTAAAAGTGAAAGTTGACAGAAATATAAAAACTCAAGTAAAGTACAGATACTCCCAAAAAATAGGCCTACTTAAGTACTGTAACAAAGTATTATTACTTTATTACATTACACCACTGCATATCTGCACGTTTCCCTGTGGTTTGCTGTTTGTTGCTGAATCAAAATGACCATACATTTGGACTGGCCTCTCTGAACACTGCTTTTAAAACCACTGCATGGTTGCTGGGGTTCTTTTTTTTCCTGCCATCTCTATCAGCTTGCAACATATATAATTTCTGTTACAGGCACACCCACTGTAGTGCACATTTCTAACTAGGTATTGGTTCAGGCACACATACCTTGTTTAGGATATTAGTTAAATTAACCTAAGGGTATGACACCCAGGTAGACATTACTAAGCCACTAATTAAACAATTGGGGATTTGCTAACCCGGATACTCATAAGTCAAGTCACTAGACTTTATTTATCTGATCAAGCAACCAGGGGCTTGTACCAAGAAGGTGACTGAACAAAAACCCAACCAATCCAAATTGGCTTTGTTGGTACCATGACGCTGATCATCAACTTTCTATGTGAACTCGGGCTTTGATCCTGAGTTTATGGAGAGGATGCACATGAAAGTGTGACATCAGTAGTGAACAGCCAATCAGATGCCTTGAAACTGTGATTCACTTCTCGCAAGAGAATTTACTGCTAAAGATTAAATGATCGAAAAATAAGAAGAATTTAAAGGGTTAGTTCACCCCAAAATGAAAATTCCGTCATTAATTACTCACCCTCATGTCGTTCCAAACCCGTAAGACCTTCGTTCATCTTCAGAACACAAATTAAGATATTTTTGATGAAATCGGTGAGCTCTCTGACCCTCCCATAGATGTTCCCAGGTCCAGAAAAGTAGTAAGGACATCGGTAAAAAAGTCCATGTGACATCAGTGGCTTAACTTCAAATTTGCGAAGCTACGAGAATACTTTTTGTGCGCAAAGAAAAAAAAAAAGACTTTATTCAACAATTCTGCTCGCCCGAGTTACCGTCTTCCGCCATTTTAGAGAGTATACCTAAGTGTAAACAATGCTGATTACGCAGAATACGTTCATGCACTCGCTTTCCCCCCAGACGTAAACAACGCTGATTACGTCGAATACGTTCTTGGATACTCTCCAAAATGGTGGAAGACATAACTCGGTGGAGAAGAATTGTTGAATAAATTCTGTTATTTTTGTTTTCTTTGCGCACAAAAAGTATTCTCGTAGCTTCGCAAAATTGAAGTTGAGCCACTGATGTCACATGGACTGTTTTACCGATGTCCTTACTACGTTTCTGGACCAGGGAACATTGCAGTTGCGTTGCTGTATATGGGAGGGTCAGAGAGCTCTCCGATTTCATCAAAAATATCTTAGTTTGTGTTCCAAAGATGAACAAAGGTCTTACAGGTTTGGAACGACATGAAGGTGAGTAATTAATGACAGAATTTTCATTTTTGGGTGAACTATCCCATTTAAATACATTTACACAGCAAGATAAAAAGAGTTATATTTGATTCTATAAATCATATAAAATAATTCTAATAAATATAAATCTAATGTTAAAGCTAATGTACACTCTCAGAAAAAAAGGTACAAAAGCTGTCACTGGGGCAGTACCTTTTCAAAAGGTACACTTTTGTACCATTTACACTGCAAAAAATGCTTTTCTTACTTAGATTTTTTGTCGTTTCCAGCCAAAAATCTAAAAAATGTTTACTTCTTGATTTAAATAAATCCTTCTTGATTTAAGAATTTTTTGATATTTTGGCTGGAAACAAGGCAAAAAAAAATCTAAGTAAGAAAAGCATTTTTTTTGCAGTGGTTTAGGTACTAATATGTATACTTTAGGTACTAATATGTACCTTTAAAGGGGTCATATGATGCGATTTCAAGTTTTCCTTTCTCTTTGGAGTGTTACAAGCTGATTGTGCATAGATGACCCCTTTAAGGTACCAATATGGACTGGTACAAAAGTGTACCTTTTGAAAAGGTACCACCCCAGTGACAGCTTTTGTACCTTTTTTTCTGAGAGTGTAGCTTTATATTTATATTTATAGGGCCAAGCACACAGAACATGAAAATTCACATAGTTTCATAAAAATAGAGCCATTAGTCATTTTTTATGTCATGTTTATTTGAAAAGAAAAAAACATATTACAGTAAAATACATGCAAATTACACTGAATTTGCATTTCTTATCCTTCACAGTATCTAAATATCCTTCATTTGTGTTAAAGCCCTGATTATATTTAAACAAAAAATTAGACATCTTTACTTAGAATATAAGCAAAACGGCCCACAAGTGATCATTTTTCACATTATTTAACATTTATTTCAGAACTCAAGACTTCAGTATCTTCTGGACAACATCTATGGAGGCTTTAATGAAAATAGTAACAATACACTCATGACATTATTTGGTTCGATACACTATACCGATCTCATGATACAAGATTCTCACGATACTTTAAATTAATCTAAATATAGTTAAAATGGGATTTTTAAAAAAAATTACTTCTAAGACATATGATAACCAGTTAATAAAATGTACAGGGCAATGGTGATACCAGAACAGAAATATTTATTATTCTATTCAGTAATGTATTAAATAATGTATTTTACTTTTAATCTATTAATAATAATGAATAAACATGGAAACTCAAATGTGTGACCATTTGGGTTTACCATTTTTGATGTGCCATTACCATATTTGATGTTAAATTAAATTAGTCAAAATTTCATTTTGGTTGAACTATATATAATATATATTGTCACCATCCACAATACACATTCCTGCATTTTTGAATTGAGATTACACCCCTACAAAATAGTACTGAATTTAAATTTATCGGTTATCGCAGATAGTTATTGGTAGTAGATCATACCCTATGTTTGCAGCCAGCCTCCTTAAACGGGCAAAGTACCATCGCAGTGCTGCATCCTTCCTTCACATGTGCCATTAAAGTCTCTCGAGCGATTCCTGGTGTGCCGCATCTGTTAGGACACTGCATAGGGAAGCATGGACACTGCTGCTGATGATGCTGTGAACATAAAACACCAATGAATACACTCCCTTTACCATAAAATGAATGAATACATAAATGTAGGATGGCAGCACATAGTCCACTGACCTGAATAGTGTCATAGAGGAACTCTTTTTTGCAGTATCTGCAGGGCAGTTTGCGTTTGGGACACTCGGACACAGAGTGCTGGGCCAAGAGTCTCCGCACCATACGAGCCCCACATTTATTCTCACAGTACACACTCTCTTCTGGACAAACACCCTGGTGATTCTAAATGAGGACAGAGAGGAAGATAAAATATTAAACATGCTTGCATGTGTCAGAGCTGTGGTGCAGTGTTGAAATTAGATTCAGTGTGGTTTGTGCTATTGAAACCAATTGCTAAATTACAAATATTACTAAACTTAAGTGATGTATTTGTATGATAAAGTATCAGAAGACTTGTGATAATAAAAAAACAACAACGAAGAACTGCATGTGTCCGACCTCATATGCCTCCCCAGTGAACTCGTCACCGCAGTGGTCACAGTGTAGTTTTCTCTTCACGCAGTCATGCTGCAGGTGCTCCGGCAGTTCACGTCGCAGCAGCTTCACAGTGCAGCGGTTTGGACATGACACCACGTTAAACTCACACACGGACAAATGGGCCTGGAGGAGCAGTGAGAAACCCAGTGTGAGAGTGAGATTAGGGTGTTTAATGTTTTTGAAAGAAGATGTTCACCAAGACTGCATTTACAGTACTTGATCTGGGCCCATATTCACATAACATCTTAAGGCTAGAAGTAGCTCATAACCTGCCGATTTAGGAGAAAATCTTAAAGTGCCCCTATTATGCCATTTTTACAGTTACTAATATTGTTTTGGGAGTCTCCTACAATAGGATTACATGCAAGCAAGGTCAAAAAACGCTTTAGTTTTCTCAAAATATGCATTTAATATCACCTCACTTTCCAGCGATTCTCAAACGATTCATTCGAAGCAGTTCAAAGATTCATTCTCTCTAAACCCCTCCTTTCCGTGAGCCTGCTCTGCTCTGATTGGTCAGATGGCCTAGTCTCTGTTGTGATTGGTCTACGGCGTACAGCGCGTGTCGGAAACGATACTGTTACTGTTGTGAACGCGCGTCCACAAGTGATGCAGTAGAGACGAAAATGTGGAATAAAGTCATTCTTTTTGTTTTCTTTACGCAAAAAAGTATTCTCGTAGCTTCGTAACTTAACAGTTGAACCACTGATGTCACACGGACTACTTTGTCGAACATCTTGGTACTTTTCTGGACCTTGAACGTGGTAGTTACCTTGCTGTCTATGGGAGGGTCAGAGAGCCCTCAGATTTCATCACAAATATCTTAAATTGTGTTCCGAAGATGAACGAAGGTCTTACGGGTTTCGAACAACACGAGGGTGAGTAATTAATGACAGAATTTTCATTTTTGATTGAACTAACCCTTTAAGACGTCTCTCTATTCCTTAGTAAAATTTGTCTCAGTAGCTTTGTGAATAGGTTTTAAGAGAAAACTCTTAGCTAAAAACTTTTACTGCTCTTTAGGAGAACTCTTAGTGGTAAGATAAAATGTTTTGTGAATACGGGCCCAGAAATACAGTGAAAACAATAATATTGGTGAAATATTATTGCAATTAATTTTTCGCCCCAGTTGAATATTAAAATGTTCCTGCGATGGCAAAGCTGAATTTTCAGCAGCCATTACTCTAGCCACATGTCATATGATTCTTCAGAAATCATTCTAATATGCAGATTTGGTGTTTGGTGTATGCTGAAAACAGCTTTTTCCAAGATTCTTTAGTGAATAGAAAGTTCAAAAGAACAGCATTTAAATAAAACAAAAATATTTTGTAACATTTTAAATAACTTTACTGTCACTTTTGATCATTTAATGTGTCCTTGCTGAATAAAAGAAACAATTTCTTAAAAAAAAAAAAACTTCATAATCTTAAACATTTTAACGGTAGTCTATATTGTTGGTTTTTGTACATACTGTAGTGTACTCATACATTTTTACATACAATAGCCTACTAACATATGGACAGCATCTAAAATGCAAACACTTTTAAGAGACTTCAGGAGCCATAAACAAATGTATTCAATCCTACAAAGATGCATGTAGAAATATGTACAAATACGACTGAGATTTGTGTGTCATTTGTTCACCTGCAGGAGCTTGTTCTGTGCAGTCCAGCGGCAGCCCTCCTCGCTGTGGATGCAGCGGATGGGCAGGGAAAGAATCTGCTGTTCCAGCTCCACATCTGGAAAAATCTGCGTGGTCAGAATGACAAATTTATGAGATTTATTAGAGTAGAACGTATAAGAACATTTGAAAAGCATGGAAGTTAAAACATGAAACATGAGCAAGATTGCTGTTGTTCAGTACAGCTGTGATTACTAGCAAAATTGGGCACGAGATATTGCTTTTATACAATTCAACAAAGATATCAAAAATCAGTAACTTATATTTATCTATTTATATATTAACCTATTTAACAGTAATTTATCCTGGGTTAGGTTAGGGTTAGGGAAAATTAGTCCTGACCTTTAAAGTTTACTTAATGTGTGATTACTAGCAAAATTGGGCACGAGATATTGCTTTTATACAATTCGACAAACAAGATATCAAAAATCAGTAACTTATATTTATCTATTTATATATTAACCTATTTAACAGTAATTTATCCTGGGTTAGGTTAGGGTTAGGGAAAATTAGTCCTGACCTTTAAAGTTTACTTAATGTGTGTTAACAGAGCATTAAACTGGGGAACATGTAGGACCCTTTTTATGTGTAAATCTGGGAAACACACTGTAGGACCTTGTGAACATAGGTATGCTTCCACTGCCACCAGTCTCTACTTCTTATCTCCATTCAGAGATGGTGTGTAGGACATAATGGCAGCATAGGCAACCCCAGTTACAGCAGCATTGCTGTAACATTTTAATGTTCATCACAGCGCTGAATAACCATCCAATAATACATAGAAATGTGTTTTGCTTTTGAATTAAGTAGATTAAAACCATGTGTGCTCATTTGTGAAGAATGACGGGGAAAAACACATTTCTTAGCAAACAATCATAAGAATGAAAATTGCATGTAAATAGGAGCGAAGAGGTTTGCTTGTGTCATCTTACTGTGATTAAGTCTTTACTTTGATAATTGGAAATTAGTGTTGTCACGGTACCAAAATTTCAGTATTCGGTACCAATACCAGTGAAAATCCACGGTTCTCGGTACCGGAAATAATTGCATTATTGGTGCACATGTAAGCATAGTCAATGACTCGCTCGTGTTACTAGTGGCGTAACAAACAATGTAAATTTCATTGTTGTTGGACTGTGTATCAGCACTCTTGCAAACACTGCTTAGCCAATCAAATTTGAGCAAAGAAACTAACTGTTGTAGGCAAGTTTAATACATTCAGGACTGGCCTGTGTAAGAATTAAAAATAAGTAAAATTTCTATGTTTGGTTTAAGGTTAAGCATGCATTTTTTGGATGTTCTATTGCAGTGATTTTCAGCTGCAGTCCTGGGGACTCTTTTCTGACTGGCTACATCCAAAAGCTGAAATATAAAGAGGTAGGAAGTCAAAAAGGCAGTTGAGCTTTTTTTTTTTACAGTTGAGCTAAAAAAAAAAGATGGCAGCTAAATGTTGCAGTTGGTGGTCAGTTTGTGTGTAAACCCTGTTGATAAAACCAGCATATTCTGGTTAGGTATGCTTTGAAGCATGGCTGCTGGTTTGAGCTGGTTTAAGCTGGTCCTTAGCTGGTCATGTGCTGGTCCTGAGCTAGTACTAAGCAAATATAGCTCCTGCTCAGGACCATCTTAGGACCAGCACATGACCAGCTTAAACCAGCTCAAACCAGCAGCCATGCTTCAAAACATACTTGACAAGCATACGCTGGATATTTCAACAGAAAATGCATGTTTTTGACCAACCTTTCCCAATTTTGATGTAATTTCTAGCGAGAAATTAGTATTGTGGCAATTAAATATTCACTTAGTTATCACCAAAGCTCTATTCTGTTACAGATCACTAAACTATTATGCTGCATCAATAACCTGTCCGAAATCAGTTTTGGGAGTTACTTGGGCAAACACTGCCTGCAAAATCATTGCCTGATAGGGCAGCGATGCAAAAAATCAGCTGCTTAAGATTTTTTGTGCTGGCACTAAGTTCAGTTAATGGATCTCTTTCCTTGAGAACCATTGTTCTATTGTATAATTTAATGGCATTATACAATGTCATTAAATTATACAATTATACAATAATTTATGACATCAGGACAATGATCATCCTTTGGATGAAATCAGAAGACATTTGAAACTGTTGTGTTATGAGGGTGCACTTACTTTGGCATAATCCAGCGGCAGGTGGTCCTCTGGGCACTTGAACACACCTTCACTATTAAAATTTAGCAGAGAAAAAAATAGTGACAAAGTCAGATTCCTGAAAGTTAATGATTCACATACATTCTGAAAGCTATGTTGTATATTTTGGGAAAGAATCACCATGGTAAATGAGTTGTTTAATATGTGTTCAAATTACAATGTAAACAAATAAAAGCTGGTTGTCTATTACTAGAGCATTTTTTAAGATGAAGAATTTACGTATTTTTGCTCTCCTACATAACGGAAAGTGACACTTACACATGAATGTGTTAGAATTTCATTTGCATTCGATTAATTTTTACATTATACAGTATGTAGTGGGTTGAAAAGCAGTTCACAACTGCCACCGATTGATGCCTCCATGTAATAAAGCCTAAATGAATCACAGTCGAACTGATTTGACAGGAACTTCAGAATCACCTCCCACACCACAAACTGACGGTCCTTCAGGAGAATATGAGTGAATCATCCATCTGGCACAGTGACGCCCCCCAGCATACATTATATGGGGAAGCAGTGCGACCAACACAACACATATTAATAGAGCTGTGATCTTTCCATTACGTGTGACACAGAAGCACATCGTCATTTCAAAATCCTACAGGGAATTTTCCCAAAAGTCCCGCAGGAAGCTTCACAAGAAGATGCAAAATGTGATTGCGACATGCAAGTGGATTTTGAATGCATTTTTCTGAATAAAAATGTTTTAAAATAACTTGTAATAAATAGTTTTATTTTATTTTTTTCTTCAGTTGGTCATGTCTTATCTTGTCTAGATCTATGAATTAGTCAGAACTGCAAATGAGGCCCTTGAAAAAGTAGCGTATCATGCCCTTCAGGCAGATACATGCTATATCATGTTAAAATCACAAATCATGTGCGAACTATTGTATGTTTCTAACAATATTACTTTAAGGTGACAGAGAGAGCATATGTACTGTATCATTCTTGCTCTTAATACTTGCTAATGGTTACATTTTAATTCACTGCATACATTGCCTTACAGCAATCCAATCCACAGATTTACATGTGAATTAGTCATTCATTTAAATTAATAGTCTATTTAAAAAACGCATGTGTTAGTCTGTCAATCATTATGATAACATCCACAGGATAACACAGGACAATGAATGTAATTGTTTCACTCATTACACCTGTGAGCAACACAACTCTGTGTTATGACTATGGGACTGAGAAGACAAGGCATGGAATGCTAAGAATGGGTCATAACCCAAAACTGTGCAGTTGAGCAATACTACCAAATAAACTGACTCACTGCATACTTTCTTTTCACATTTATTCCTTTAGGCTGTTTTTAAATCACAACATTTCTATAGGAACATAGGAATTCTGTAGTATTTTGATTATGTTATTATCTTTTAAAATGTAAAAGAGAAAAACATGTTATTTTATGTAAACATTACGATGTAAAATCTATAGAGACAGAAAGCACTACTCTGTAGCCTGAGGCATTTTGTGTCACTGACATCTTGCTTGGCCTGTTTGGCATTTGTTTATTACCACTCTGTCATAGAAGCAATTATTTTGAAGTGATACTTTCCACATAGACAATGACCAAAGCTATTAAATTATTTAAAAATAAATAAAAAATGCAATGGTGAATACACCTGTTCTATGATTAAAATGTTTTCAATTTTTGAACTAAAATTATCTATGTGATCTGTCTAAAGATTGAATTTTTAAAAATGAAACGGTGTAAAACCATAAATGTTACCTCTGTAAACCCTTAAGACTGTGCGTCAGCAAGTCCTCCTCACCCCTACCCCCAATATGCGTAATACATTTTTGTTATAATTGTTTTTTTAATTAGAAGGTTTGTTAGATTTTAGATGGAGTTATCCTGAGAAAACATGATGTTCATGATTCAATAATATACGGTAGATATATAATTTATACTAATGTTCAAATATTTTGAGTCATTAAGGTTTATACATTTCTTTTGTCTCTTAAATGTGTATTAATGTTTATGTCTCTAATGTTGATTTATTTTTTCATAAATAAAGAACAGCAATATTGTGAAATATTATTTTCTATTTATAAATATTTCTAATATGTAAAGGGACCTCCCTGATGATGCCAACCCTGCAACAACATTCAGAACTACCACATTTTGCTATAAGTTTGATTGCATCATATAATAATTGCTGTTAATAGTGTTCACCGTCTGTTTGATTACGTCTTAAATTGATTTTTCCGTACATTTCTGCCATATGTACATTAACTGACAGTCACCACTGATAAGCTACCACTAAATATTGTAGAAACTTAATTTGCTGTAAAGTTGCTTTGCAACGATTTGTATCGTGAAAAGCGCTGTACAAATAAACTTGAATTGAATTGAATTAATATATTTTAAAACTTTCATGTGACAACAAAGCTGAATTTTTAGTGTCACACGACCCATCAGAAATCATTCTAACATGCTGATTTGCTTCTCAAGAAACTTATTATCAATGCTGAAAGCAGCGCTGATTAATACTGTTGTCCTTGCTCAATCAAAATATTTTTTTTTTCTTTTTAATGTAGTATATACTTAGAAAAATGTTTGAAAATTTCTTAGAATTATACTTAGTTTATAACTCACTTGAACAATGATTTACACCCAACACTCAAGTATTAAATATGTAAGAAATATATTGTGCTGCATGCTATGGTTACACCTCTTGACATTTTGAAATATTCATGTTAATATGAAATAATTAGAACACATTTAGAAATTTGAACGTGTGTTTTAATGTTTTTTTTATCTCTTTTACTTTCATAATTTGTACCAGATATAATTATCTATTATGTGTGTGTGTGTGTGTGTGTGTTTTAGACATGTCACGTTAAGAACTACGGTGTGAAAGTTAAAAATTCACTTGGCAAAAATATGAAAATAAACCACCTCGCTTTGATCATTCAGACATAGAGGTTAAGAACCAGCTTTACCTGAGGTACTCCTGCAGGCAGGTGTCGCAGAATCTGTGTCCGCAGGTGGACATCTGCACGGGGTCCCGCATCGGCTTTTCACACAGAGGACAATAAAACCTCCTCCTCGGTCTCTCCAGAAACTTTAAATCTAACCCTGGCATAATACCTTTGTGTCTATCAACATCAGACTGCAAACTGATAAACTGCTGGAATCAAACGTTACAAAGAATCTTAATGCAAAGAAGAAGAACCGCTATTAGTAGGTTAATCGCTCGTTTATCGAACCAACACTAAACACCAATCGATCTCTCATGACATTTCCGTCTTTAGCAAGGTACAGCACAGGGAAATATTTACTCATTCCAACTGTACCTCTGCACTCAAGGCCGCCCACAGGAGCGAGAGGAGGAGCCACCAGCCTCCCACTTATAATATTGCATATGGGCAGTGTTAGTTTACGATCATCAAGATTTAAATCAGTTTTCATTCATATTTTGAATTAGTTTTTATTTTTAAGTTTTCATTTTTAATAAAGAGTAAAATGTAGATATTTGATGATTTTGTCATTTTTATTTGTTAATTGTTTTATTTGTTTATTACGGAAGAGGATTAGTACAATACGAAGTTTCATTTCAGTTTTAATTATTTTAGTACATCAAATTATTAGTATTATTATAATTGACTGTCTGTATAGTTTATATTATTACTGATCTGCTATTTAAGCTTCTTATTATTCTTATGAGACTAAAATTTCTGAACGCTACTCCTCCTAGACCTAAAGCTTTCAAGCTAGAAGAACCACCAAACTCAGCCCAGCTCTTCAGACTGATCTGACTCGGGTTGCTATATTTCAGACTGATCTGATTTATAGTTTTCATGAAATTGAAGATTAAAAATCATTAAAAATCCCATAGACTTACATTGACGGAATGTTCAAATGAGCCAAGACTATGCAAACTCCAACTGTCAAAATTCAAATCTAAACACACTGACGCCCATTAAGGCCCATTCACACCAAGGACAATAACTATAAAGATAACGATAAAGATATAGTTCTAAAAATCGTTCTCAATATTAAAGAATAGCAGTCCACACCACAACTATAACGATAAAGACAAAGAGAAAGGATATAGTTGGAATCACTTTCAAAACGATTTTTCTCCAGCTGATAAACGATAACAAAATTGACAGCCAATCAGAATCCATCCTGCTGTAAGGAGCTCAAGAATTTAAAGCGGCATATGTGCGTGCGCTTAGAGTAAACAGACGATATCGTTCGCTGTTGTGGACGCTAATATCGTTATCTTTATAGTCATCGTTCTTGGTGTGAACTGGGCTTTAAACTCAATCAGACTTCCCTTCTATGTACTATTTCTAACCATGCAAACTCATCTCAGACTTCCCTTCTATGTACTATTTATAATCCATGCAAACTCATCTATCTAATACTTCTAATCGATCTATCTATCTTATCTATCTATCTATCTATCTATCTATCCTAGCGATATGCTAATCATGCTAGAAACATACTAACAACATGCTAGTAGCATGCTAATCATGCTAGCAACAAGCTAATCATGTTAGAAACGTGCTAGCGACATGCTAGTAACTTGCTAATCATGCTATTAACATGCTAGTTACTTGTTAATCATGCTAGCAACATGCTAGTGACATGCTAATCATGCTATAAACATGCTAGCGACATGATATCAACCTGTTAATCATGCTACAAACATGCTAGCGACATACTATTAACTTGCTAATCATGCTAGCAACATGCTAGTAGCATGGTAATCATGCTAGCAACATGTTAATCATGCTAGAAACATGCTAGCGACATGCTAGTAACTTGCTAATCATGTTAGAAACATGATAGTCACTTGCTAATGCTAGTTACTTGCTAATCATGCCAGCAACATGCTAGTTACTTGCTAATCATGCTAGCGGCATGCAAGTAACTTGCATATCATGCTAGCAACATGCTAGTTACTTGCTAATCACGCTAGAAACATGCTAGTGACATGCTAGTAACTTGCTAATCATGCTAACAACATGCTAGTAACTTGCTAATCATGCTACTAACATGCTAGTCCCTTGCTAATCATCCTAGCGACATGCTAGTAACTGGCTAATAATGCTACCAACATGCTAGTAACTTTCTAATCATGATAGCAACATGCTAGTTACTTGCTAATCATCCTAGTGACATGCTAGTAACTTGCTAATCATGCTACTAACATGCTAGTAACTTGCTAATCATGCTAACAACATGCTAGTTACTTGCTAATCATCCTAGCGACATGCTAGTAACTGGCTAATAATGCTACCAACATGCTAGTAACTTTCTAATCATGATAGCAACATGCTAGTTACTTGCTAATCATGTTAACAACATGCTAGTAACTTGCTAATCATGATAGCAACATGCTAGTTACTTGCTAATCATGTTAACAACATGTTAGTAACATGATAATCATGCTAGCAACATGCTAGTCCCTTGCTAATAATGCTAACAACAGGGTAGTCACTTGCTAATCATGCTAATTACATGCTAGTTACTTCTTAATCATGCTAGTAACATGCTAATCATGCCAGCAATATGCTAGTAACAGGCTAATCATGCTAAAAACATGCTAGAAACATGTTATCAACATCTATCTAAATGTTCGAACTTCAGGCTTTTACAACTGCTTTAAACTTTCAGGCTAGGCTTTCTCAAGCCAACCTACAGTTTGTCTTGACAAAATCTAGTTTTTATTGTGGTTTTAGTTATTTTAGTGCATCAAGTTAAACTAAATGAAAATAAGAAATATTGCCAACTAGCTGATTTTTTATAGGCTATAATTACTTGATATTTTATTTTAATTCATGATTATTTTAAATAACAAACATGTTTTTATGGTCTATAACCCTGAATATTTAGACAAAATTTAAGTAGAATTTAAACAATGATGAATACATGTATTTAGTGTCTCTTTCCTCCTCCCCATTCACCTGTTTTACATTGATAGCATAGCACCCTCTGTGTAAATGTTGAAATTTGATACCGCTACACCTCCCAATGGCTCTCACAATTCAAAAGGTATGAAAAATGTGCCTGAGACGTATTCATTTACCACATTTGCTGTTGATTTGCTTTACTTATAGTGGGTTATTTACATTGCATCATAAGTACTGATTCTCGTCTTACTAAAGTGTGTAAATGTAGACATTTTAGACAGTTTCATCGAAACAGGTTTCAAGCTGTAGAACCAGTTTTACTTCCTCGTTCCACAAAGGAATATTCAGGTTGGCCTTAGACTCCTTGTATCGGCAGTAAAAAGCACAGAGCTTGTTCAGCACAGCTGCGTTAAACTCCATGCTTCTTACTGTTTGGAGCATGTGAAAGAGCATGTGTTAATGCTCAGCTATTGCGACTCAAATAACCCGTATATTATGTGATGAGTAACTGAAAAGGGCTTTTGTTTGCTTTTAAAAATGATTCATTTTAGTTAATGTGTCAGTGTGCCGAAGAAAAGCAGTGCATTTATTTGGTGTCGACCACAAGAAGGAGTACACGTGAGCTTTTGTGTATTTGTGTAGGAGGGCAACAAAGAGCCAGATAACGAAAAGAATAATAAAACTCAAAGAGAAGCAATAACAAACATGACAAACATTCTTCCACCTGCTGCACAGTCGGTGAGATGCCAGAAGCTACACAATTAAAACAGAAAAACCACATGCAGCTGTGTAAAAACAAGTTTATTGTTGCATTAAAAATGATTTCTGTATGTCATAAAAGTCTATGGAATTATTATAAGACACATATGGAAATGTGGAAACACATGCATAGATCCTTCAGATACACAGCATACAAATTTCTGCATATATAGACTGAAATGTTGTCATGTGTATTGTAGGAATATTTGCAGAAACATATTACATATATTGTAGTTGGTCTGCTTTTTTCACCATAATTTTGGCACTCACACTGTTGTATGGCAGACCCCATTCACTTGCATTGTATGAAAAAAGAGCAGCATAACTATCTTTCGAAATTTCTTCATCTTGTCTCATAGAAAAAGGAAATACAAACAGGTTTAAGAAATCACGAGGGTGAAGTATACGATGACAGAATTTTCATTTTTTGAGTAAACTATTCATTTAAATATAAAATAACTACGTATTCTGTATTTCCGACAATAATATTTTCTTCACATGAAACAATTCTTCATAAATCTGACTGAACCATATAACTGCAGCATGAACTTGTTAACGATTCACAAAACTCACAATTAGACTTGTTTGAAATGTGCATTTCTTCAAAATGCTGGACTTCTTATTCAAAATAGCAAATATTATAAGTTATGCGTTTTTATATTGCATAAGAAAACAAAATCATTCTATTCTGAGCGACCTTCATTTCCTTCTTTAAAAAACATCCCGGACACGATGGACAGGATGGCAAGGGTCTTTGAGCTTAATTAAAAGAGTGTATTCTAAAATAGACACTGATTAAAGTGCTCCAGATATTATAATAATTTGTATTAAAATTGTATGTTGGTTTAAATGACAAAAATGCAGCATTGTCATAATGATTGAAATGAATCACGGCCATGATAATAAAACTAAGGCAAATGAGGGAAGCAGCACTTCAGTAGGAGTTAGCCGACCTTCTGTCCAAGGTCTTGGTAAGATTTCTTCATATTATTCACATTCTTAGTCAGTAAAGTATCTCTGTTAAAGAAAAAAAATTAGTAATTGTGAATTAGTAATTTGTTTAAAAAATGACTCTGTCACACGAAAAACTCATATGCTTTTTATATCTGATTGGATGAGCCATGCACACTTTTCTGATATTGTATTTAATTTTATTTGAATTGCAAATTATTTTTAATATTTCATAATTTAAAAAAAGCTGTAATATCATAAACTGTTTATAATACAAAAACTATTAAACTATTTTAAATCATGTTTATACAGTATATTTATATATAATTTATACATGTTTATATGTTAATAAAATATATTACTTGGCGGAAGAATTGACTATTTTGACTATTAATATGAATACCGTTTATTAACTGAACATTGGCATTTTCAATCATACTAGGATTTCTGTTTTTATAAAAAAAAATATTATCGATATATTTTATATGTACAATAATCTAATCTAATATTTGAACCATGTTTACATATAATATTATTCATGAATCATGTTTATTATATAATAATATAATAATACATAATAACCATCTAGTAGTCTTTTGATTTTGATTATTATTAATAATAATAGATTTTAATTTTTATACATTTTTAACAGTATCAATATATTTTATATGTATAATAATATAATTTATATTAAATATACATATTATATTAATAACTATATTGCATTTTAAAACATTACAAAATGTGTATGTGTACATTATATACAAATATTCTATAAACTTCTGTATTTAACACAAAACAAATGCATAAAATACTCAATAATTTCATACATGATGTATGATAGTTTCAAAAATCTTATTTCACATGGGTATAATAATCTGTTACCTGTAAAATCACTGCAACAAAGACGGCCATCAGAGCCAGCAGCACCATGCGGCCCAGGCTGCCGAAGTCGACATGTTTGAGGATGAAAAAGCGTGCCCAGCCCAGCTTATCTGCTGTATGTGGTGGGTAACGCATCTTATTCACCCCCTCCATCTTCAACTGTTTGATTAGACAGCCACGCAAGTGGCTCAAGTTATCAAAGCCGTACTTGCCGTGATAGTGGCCCATCCCACTGTTACCTGCAGGGGGAGCCGAAGAGCTGAGATCCAGTACAGTCCACACAACACAGCAAGACATGTATGCTTCTGCAGCTTCTCTCATGGACATCTTTGACTGGTCAAAATGACTGTTCTATTTATGTAAAAGAAAAAGGTTTCATTAAAAGAACTCACCAACTCCACCAAAAGGCAACGAGCTTACTGAGAAGTGCATCAAACAGTCATTGGCCACCACTCCACCACTAGAAGTCTCCGCAATCATACGCTTGATCAGCTATAAAGAAAGGACAGTTTTGTACAGTTGTCTTAAGTAAAACTTTATCTTTCTATATATTGTGAACAAATAATCAGTTTAAACCTTGTTGTCTGAAGTGAAGATGTACAAGGCAAGGGGTTTCTCTCTCTGGTTGATGAATTTGATGGCTTCATCTGCACTGCTAACTGTCAGGATGGGCAACAGAGGCCCGAAGATCTCCTCCTGCATCACCTTGGCATCCGGCTTCACGTCCCTTAAAACTGTTGGACCTGTCAGGAAACACATTTTGAATGCAACAGAGAATTACAATCAATTGGTTTCATTAGCTTCTAAACTGGTGCTTGTAGTGACTTGTAGCATTAGCAATGCAGCAAATTTTAGTAATTTATACCAATGTAGCACAACGACTCGTCGTTTTCACCGCCCACAGCGACGGTGCTGCCCTCCAACAATGCCATCAGTCTCCTGAAGTGGCGATGATTTATGATGTGTCCGTAATCCAGACATTTTTGGGGGTCTTCGGTATAGAAATCCTGATCATCATAAACAAAAGAAAGTATGTATTAGCTCATTTGAGATTTTACATTCGTAGGTTGTTACCAGGCCCAAACTGTCATTCACAAATAACATACGTACTTTAATATTCTTCTTGATCTCTTCAATCACTCTGTCTTGCATACTGGGGTCACACAGTATATAGTCCGGAGCAATGCAGGTCTGACCACAGTTTGAGTACTTCCCCCACGCAATACGCCTGTAAAGAACATGGATTCCAAATTATTTTACAGCTTCACAAACGAAGGATTCGTTCTGAATCGACTGACCGGCAGGCAATGGCGAGGTCACAGTTGTTGTCGATGTAGCACGGGCTCTTTCCGCCCAGCTCCAGAGTGGTAGGGGTTAAGTGTTTAGCAGCGGCCTCCATGATGATTTTAGCCACTGTGCCGTTTCCAGTGTAGAAGATGTGATCAAACCGCTGCTTGAGCAACTCTTGGGTCTCTGTCAGCCCACCGGTGACAACTGGATACAGCTCCTGAGATCAACCCAAACTATTAGCCCTTTTTATTTAAAGGGGTTATAAAGGGGTTTATAAGCCATATTAGGGCTTTTCACACTTGAAATAGTTAACCCTGGGTCATTCTACACCTTCCAAGAAATGGTTTAAAGGGGTCATATGATGCGATTTCAAGTTTTCCTTTCTCTTTGGAGTGTTACAAGCTGATTGTGCATAGATAAGATCCCTGAAGTTGCAAAGACTAAAGTCTCAAAACCAAAGAGATATTCTTTATCAAAGTTAAGACTCTGCCACACCCCCCTAAAACGGCTCGTTCTAACACGCCCCCACATATCTACCTCACTATGTGGAAATATTTGCATAATGCTGCCCAAATGTGCACGCAAAGAAAGAAGGCGTGGTTTCAGTAACCGCAGTTAGTGTTGAAGCAGCCATGTCAGGGAGATGCTGTTTGTTTCTAGGCGAAAGCAAAAGCACTTTATTTGGCCTTCCGAAAATAGATGCATTTAAATGATCTTTAAAAAAGCATCATATGACCTTTAAAAAGCGGTGCTAACCCTGCTTCAAAATTACCACTGTAAAATGTACCTTTACTTGGGGTTAAACATTGGGTTTAGAATGACAATAGCCCAAGGCACAGTGTCCAAAGCCCTTTTGTGTTCATTCAGAAAATTATGAATAAATGGAATCTCACTTTGTCCAGGTAAAGCGGTAAGAAATCCTCCATTACTTTGGAAGTGTGAGAACTGACTTCAGATGGCTTGATTACAGCTGCATTGCCTGCCAACACAGCATTCCTTGTAATATGACAATATTTTTTTACACTACAAAATTACAGTCATTCTTTATCACTAGTAAAACCCTAGCTCTTTAAAAATAGTGTAGATGTATAGCTCAAAAAAAAAAAAACTCTTTCACTATTAAGCACTTCAAATTTATCTCTGGTGCTGAATACTCTAATTTTATACACTTGCAAATATATGAACAACTTGTATATGAAATATACAAAACCTGACATTTGAATTAGTAAAGGGTGACAACATTCTTAAAGACAGATAACAGACAGAGGGGAAAAAAGCTCAAGCTATTTGTGCACAGTGATAGTGAGTTTAAATCAATTACTGCATATTTACTACATTTTTTTAAATTCAGGATTTGCCAATAAAGTTCAAAGAATAAATAAACAAATAAATAAATATCACTTTATATGCCTTGTGTCATGTAAATGCCTTCCTGAACTTTACCACAAAAATCTAAAATATCACTGGGAGCTCTTTATGCAAGTGTACTTTGGTCTGTTAGCACAGGGCAGTGTCGCAGAAGTAGGACAAAGTACAGCCCAGTGTTATTTTAGTATCATTAAAGGTCCCCTGAAATGCTTAGAAACACGCAGCGTTACTCTGTTGACGTCATTTTAACTGAATCAGGAAGACAGGGCGGGACATATCAAGCAGCCCTGCCCCTTTTTAAAATAGCCAATAGTGTTCGTTTATATCACAGCTTGAATAATTCAAACCTGAAAATAAACAGAAGATTTTGACTTTAAAAAGTTATAAAATTTGTTTTAAAATTCTTAATTATTTTTGGGCGCTGATAAAATGTGATTAGTTGTGAATAAAATGATCATCAGCTTTTGCAGAAGTTTGTGGAGCTCATGCAGCTTGAGTGTTGCTATTATTAAAGCAAAATGGTTGTTAAACTGATATATAAAAAGCATTAAATTAGAAAAATGCCATAGCAGTGGTCTCAGACTTTAAGACCATATAAGGCCTCTAGATATGCTTATAGGTTACATAAAGAATTCATAAGCTTTTATTCGTGATATTTTGCACATTTCATGTAAATTGTTTGAGATGGTCTTCAATAGACCTCCATTACCTGCTGCTATAGCTCCTATGAGGGGCCCGATGGTGACTGCCCAGGGGTAGTTCCAGGCCCCAATGACCAGCACTACTCCCAGAGGCTCAGGCTGGATGTAGACCTGGTCTGAGATGGTCATCATGCTCTTGCTCACGGGTCGAGGAGCTGCCCATTCTTTCAGATATTTCACAGCCAGGTTAATCTCACTTTCCAGACCTAGAGTCTCATACAGAGTTCCACCCTCACTCTGTCACCAGATATATAAAACACAGATCAGTTACATAAGCAAACAATGTTTAGGAACGGACAACACACAAGCTGATGGGTCACCAACCCTTCCGAGATCCTTTTTGAGACCCTCTGTGATTTCATTTTGTCGTTCTCTGACAAAACGCAGCAGGTTTTTTAGCTGGGTAATGCGGTACTCCAGTGATTTGCTCCGGCCGGTGAGGAAGGCCTTCCTGGCACGATCCACTGCTTTCTGCTCTCGAGACATACTGTGAAAGGGGAAGTCATTCATTTCACTCAAGTTATACTTCTGTCACACTTAGGGAAACTTCACGCAATGATCTCATAAATTATAAGTGAGAGCCAAGTAATGGACTGACATCTGGGCCTTTAAAAAGTGTTTCAAAATGATTTAACATAGAATTTCTGTCATTTATACTCAATTTTATGAGCTTTCAGAATGTCAGCTTTTTGTTATTATCATGAGCAATTCAATTCAAAGTGGTTAGAAAAGTGCAATGATCTTATTGCAGCAGGTTGTAACTTTGACACCACCTTATTTACAAAAAAATAAAAATCTGTTTTTTTATTTTTAGTTTAGAGGGTAACTTTTTTTCTACAGTGTAACAAATGATCAAAATAATTCATTTATATAATAGTAATAATAATTGTTTTTTATTATTACGTTTAATAAGAAGAATATAATTATTACTGTAGTAGTAAATACACTCTAGTACACAGTATACTAATTACTAGTATCTAATAGTTACTAATTAAGTAATTAATTAATGGTTAAATAACTACTAATAAAATAAAAATAGATATTAGTTAGGAAAAAGTGTAGTCACGTGACAGCCCTGATTTCAGTTTGGCAGTAGTGCACAGTAGTTTAGAAATTATGCAACGCACACATAGCGGACTATGAGACATAGTCATATAGTCATACGTGCATGCAGAAACACAATGAAATTATACGTATTTGCCGCCCATACGGGTTATAGGGTTTCATTTATCTCCTGAACACGATTATAAAGTTAAGATTCTTAGTGTCGCATAGCCTTGCGCAGTTGCAATTACACGTTTATAACAGGTTGGAATCTCAGAAGAAATTATTTTATTACATTGCTGTACGACATCGCTGCTGTCAGAGGCTTGTTACTAGGCAATCGATTAATACGCTTTCGAGAATGACAACAAAAAGCCTTAGTTCTTCTGTACATTACCTTTGGTTATTTCACAGTGCGTCCACGCCTTTCGCTGTATATGTTGTGAGGCGTTCTGATGAAGCGTCCAGATCAGACCGCGCTGTCAAGCTGAACGATCGTAAACATTAAACAATACTGTTCCGTTAACAGTAGATACGCAAACGGAGGGGGCGGAGTCTCTCCAGTGGGCGCGGCCACAAAGCGTCAAAGCCAGCCCTGAGGCAGTGTATTTAGGTACAATAAATACACTGACAGAGGATTACAACAGGCTACGTTGCATTTGGGTTAATGCGCCAGATGTAATACTTTCAGAATCATACTTGTTTTAATGCTAAATTAGAGAGAACATGTCATGTATTCTACTTCTTTTATAGTCTAAAGTGTATTTAAAACATAGCTTAATAAATACTCCATGCTATTTATTCTTGGCTAACTGCAAAACGATGGGAAAGTTAATATTTAACCCGACAGAAAATGGCAAACAACAAGGCAACCCTTCAAACTTCTGTTACAAATGTAACCAATAGGGTTAAATGTGCAAATCATAAATGTTGTAAGCTAATACTAATCAGACAGAAGAGGCAAAGCACAGAAGAATTCGTTAAGGCTTTTTGTTGGACTTAGGCCATCGATGTTTTTAGTGGTCAGCTGAAAGCAAAGAGCCTGTTAGGCCTAATTGGTCACTTCTCATGCCAGTCACTTTTCCGTTACTGATTTCAAATTACCAGACAAAAATAGTAGTTAGTAGTAATGTTTTTCTGTCAACACTGCACTGGCTACCTATTAAACATAGTATAGATTTGAAAATCTTGCTTATTACGTATAAAGCCCTGAATGGTTTAGCACCTCAGTATTTGAACAAGCTCTTGTTACATTATAGTCCTCCACATCTGCTGCGTTCTCAAAACTCTGGCCATTTGATAATACCTAGAATATCAAAATCAACTGCGGGCGGCAGATCCTTTTCCTATTTAGCACCTAAACTCTGGAATAACCTACCTAACATTGTTCGGGAGGCAGACACACTCTGTCAGTTTAAATCTAGATTAAAGACCCATCTCTTTAACCTGGCTTACACATAACACACTAATACGCTTCTAAGTTAAAAGCGCTATATAAATAAAGGTGACTTGACTTGACTAATGTAATCCACTACATTACACATATTAGGAAATACAATCAGACTACTTTTTGATTACTTTTAAATAGGATAAGCTAGCAAATTGATATAAAAATACAGAGTTAGAAAAAATATTCCATTCATTGTTAATAACAACATGAAGTGCATTAAACATAACATTGCCACTGCATGATAATTCAAATAAAATGTAATGTGTTCATCAGTAGTTGATGCAATTTTGAAATGTTGAAAAAAAGATTTATGTAAATCTAGCAGTCAATTTCTGTGTGGCCTCTCAATTCGTAATTATAACCAGTGTGAACAGTGTGAATGACCACAAAACTGGAAGGCTTTCTGAATGTCTGTAAGTGGTAGTTTATTTTAGAATGGTACATTCAAATGATTTATTATGGAGAATCAATAAATGATGAATAAGTTATTGCTATTGTGTAAATAATACGGCTAATCATGTAATCAATTAAAAAGTATTTTAAAATGCATAATTCAATTACAAGTACTTAATTTTTGGAATTATGATTACATAATCCAGATTACATGTAATCAGTTACTACCCAGCGTTGGCAGTGTTTTAGTAGCCTAACTTTGTTGTTACAAATTAGAGTTACATGGTCATAGAAATTCTTTAAAGATTTTTTAAATCAAAATTTCAGATGTGTTAAAAAATGTATAGCACATAGACAGGAAAGAGGTATTATTAAGAACTTTAAGTGAATGACTGTTGTCAAACAGGATCAGGCAGACAAATATACAATGTGCACAAATGTACAGATAAGAAATGCAAATGAATTCAAATTACCTGAGAAAGTATTTGTTTTTATTTGTATTGTACATGTAGACTTTAACTTATTAAACTGCATTTAAACTGCCCAGCTCTTCACCAGCCATTGAAAACAGTTCCTCAGCATCTGTGCATAATCTATCATAGCCCCTTCTCTTTCAGGTGGATCTCTGTGGCATAATTTTGGCTTTGTATCAGAAATTCTTCTCAGTAGCACTATACCGCTAAAGTATGAAAACTGACCGAACTCCTTGAAATATTTCCCCAAACTGGCAGAATAAATGGTAGATGTTTCCACATCAAACAAAAAGACGGCCTTAGGTGTTTGCAGACTGTGAATGGAGAGGAACGCAGCTGCGATGACACGTCATTAGCACCATTGTGACAGTACTGTGCCCCAGGAGTGGGAAAAGACAGAGGATCCATTGGAAAGAAAATGTATGAATGCAAACACACACATTCCCACATACCAGGCATATATGCACTCATACACAGAGTAGAGACACACACAAAAATTACTTTGTGGCTCATTACAGTTTTTAAGCCTATGGAAGCATCAGAATTCTGAAATGAATTGCTGAACACAAAAGAAGATATTTAAAAGAATGGTAGCTTTTGACTTCCATTGTATTTTTTTCCATACTAAGGATGTCAATGGCTACCGCAAACTGTTCGGTTACCAGCATTCTTCTATATATCTTACTTTATGTTCAGCAGAAGAAAGAAACCAGTGTTGGGTGTAATAATGCAAATAATGTATGTAATCAGATTACTTTTTTTAAAGTAACTAGTAAAGTAACATATTACTTTTAAATTTACAACAAAATATCTGAGTTACTTTTTCAAACAATTAACACAACTAAGATGTCATTTATTAAAGATACAATATGTACGTTTTCACCGCTAGAGGGCACGTATTCAAAACAAACAAAGAAACAAAGGCGTAGTTTGATGACGCCGTGACTGAGTGGGGAATCATGGGAGTTGTTGTCTTCATCCCCACAGCCAATACAATCCGACGGGACTCAGGCAGAAATCATGTTCATGGATGAGCTAATAAGATTTATTAACATCGTAGTATGAAGCAGAGTGAGGCGGAAAGCCGTCGAAGCGAAACGAGGCTGCTGAAGCAATTGCTAATGAGAGACGAGAGCGACACACGGCTCGAAAGCAGCGGTGCTTTTATTATGCCACACTTTAGTGCTTCCGCTCCTTCCGGTCGTGCGTATGTGGGGTAAAGCAGCACTGTTTTATCATACTAGATACATTTGAAAGTTCTGTTATAATGTATATACATTCTGTGCGGTCGTCACCTGTCTAATAAAACGCACAACATATTAAAGCGTCTTTGGTGTTTCCATGTTTTATACAAAACAAAAACGGAAATCGTCATTGGCAGGCGACACTATAGACACGGTCCGTGTCACTAGTGAAAATTGCTTATTTCTCTGGATTTAAACATTCTTCGAAACATTGGGGATATATAACACTGTTCTAGTGGTTTTTGGATATTTTAATTAAAATAATCGTACAGATTGCACCTTTAAATGACATCTCTTCTATCCCCGTGTTGAGAGAAATTGGGAGTGAGGTGCAGAGGAACTTCCTACAGCCTGAGTGAAAGGGTGTGAAAGGGCCCTTACAGTTACCAAAAATATAACTTTTGGGTATTTTGTTATTTAAAAAAAAATTAGCAAGCCCAGCCCAGGTGACAAAAAGTAACGCAAAAGTAACGCACCAAATTACTTTCCATGAAAAGTAACTAAGTAACCCAATTAGTTACTTTTTATGGAGTAATGCAATATTGTAATGCATTACTTTTAAAAGTAACTTTCCCCAATACTGAAAGAAACTAATACAGGTTTGGAGAAACATGAGGTTGAGTAGATGATTAACAAATGAATAACAGAATTTTTATTGGGTGAACTATCCATTTAAGAACAATGCACATTTACTTTTAAACTGTAACATATGTACGTTTAGCATGTGCAGGGTGATGATGCATCAGTCAATATATTATTAAGGGAAATAAATAGAAACATTTGTTCAATTGTATTTTGACAATTTAGTTAAATAATTGAATAACCGATGAAAGACAGTAGAATCCCAGTAAAAGAGATTAATCTAAAGGTAAATTTATTCTATGACTTATGTATAGGCATATTAATATTTACATACTTAATTGCCCATATTTTAATTGAAGATATGTCATAATAGCAACAATATAAATGCAAATTAAATGAGTTCACTCAATACATTTATAGGTTTTCATGAAAGTATAGGTCTGAAAGGTAATTCATTTAAAAATTTAATAATAACCCCACTTATTACAATAAGTATTACATCTTAAAATAATAATATAAATAACAACGTGGCACTCTGTCCCAGTTCTGGGGAACAAATTTTTTTTTTTATATTAAACATAATACAATCTCATAGATCACTATTTTCAATTTCAATTAAGTCAGTTAACCTCACAACTTTTTCAAACTGACTAAATCTCACAAATGCTGATACTTAGATAAAATGACAATGAAAAAGTTAGCATTGTCATTCATCAAAAGTGTTGATATGAGATTTTGTGCCATCTATTGAAAAGAGAAACAAACTTAGGGTGAGGGGGGTTATCTTCACCCGGGGGTATCTTACCCCTTTTACTCTAGTTAGTTCATATTAATGTGAAAGTATGTTGAGCGTGATGTGACTTGCTGCTATCAGCATTCTTCAGAGGATCTCTTGTTATCACAGAAATTTTACCCATTCAGAACAGCCCCCTAATAAAAGTGGGCTAGCTTTTTTTTTAGAGGATATCACTTGCTTGTACTTGCTTACATGTCACAGCTCAAGAAAAGTGCTTGAAGGACTACAAGTGAAAATAATATTTATTCCAACATCTGCAAAGTTTGCTGAAGGCAAAGGGTGTTTAAAATGCAGAAATGTTACACTTCTGCATAACCAATGTTAAAAAAAACACAACCAAAACCTGCAAATCCAACACTTCACTTCCTGTCTTGGGTTGTTGTGCATGTATGAACATATATAGAAGTGTATGGCATTTAGCCGTTGGAGTGGTGTTCACTCATAGCTCGATACTCTCGCACTCAGTCGCCTCTTAGTGGCCATACTGCTGCTCTATCATGTGTGCCACTAGAGGATGTTATTGTCATCGGGATAAATAGGAGTTGAAGGATGTGAAATCAGAGGAACTTCCTCTTCCATATCTTTATAACTAAGCTTACACTTAACC